ATATTAAAATAACTTACATATATGGGTATTCAACATGCATTCCTATTGAATAACAAAAAAAAAACAAAAGACAAAAGTTTATTTTAATTAAAAAAGAAAAAATTAAACTAAAATCTAATTAAAAAATTTTACCAAATGGTTTACAAACTTGAATAAGCGCATCAATAAGTCCTAATGATAGTTGCTCATCTCTTCCTGGAAATACTACAATCCAATTATAAAGAGATTTAGCACTAATATGACGCATATTACGACCATCACGACTCCAATCTGTACAAAAAATAAACAAGATCTATTTAATTAACGTTTATATTCTTCTTTTTGTTTTTTTTTGTTACCGGCTTCATTATAATTGTATCTTACAGAACGCTATAAAAACAAATAAATAATTAAAATACATAGAAATAAAATGAAGAAAAATATTTACATCAAAATACAATATATGTTCAGCATCAAGAATTCTTGCTTCAAATTTGACTAGATCAGTGTCAAGTTTCATATTCCATTTAGCTAATTCATCTTGACATTCAGAGTTTCTATGATTAGAAATTTTTAATTAATAAGAAATATATATATATATCTACAACAACATACTGATGAATATCAGTCACAAATTGCCGAAGACGATTATAACGAGTATTAGCATCAACATGTGTATAACTGGCGATTTCTTTCATAAAATGAAAATCTGAACGCATTATATCACTAATACCTAAACACATTGAGATAGACTACAAGAATATAACTATGAATAAATAAATATTTACCAGTAACACAACATAATTCAGGTACAAGTAAAAATGGTGCATTGACACCAGCTCGACGATCTTTTTTTGATGGTTTACTAACTAAAAGTGGTTGTCCTGGATCGATTATTTTTAATTGATATTTCTATAAATAATTTAATATTATATATAATGAAGAAAAGAAAATTATATTAAAATACATCTTCATAATATTTAATAAATGAACATTGTGAACCATCACGCATTGGAAATGTTTGTGATGGAGAACGATCCCATGCTATTTCGTCTATTTTATATGTTTTAGAATTGTATGTTGTAAGCACAATCTAATTAAAATGTTCATATTGATTAGAATTATTAATGTATATTCTTTAGTATATGATATAATTTTTTTAAAATTTTAATTCAATCAAATCGTTCAATATTGTACGAAGTATAATAAATTTTTTTCTAATTCTTACTGTTGTTTTTTTATACTACCAAATGGAAGTAATTGTGATAAATAATCATCATTATCTCTGGTTAGATACTGTCAAACAAATCATAGATAACATGAATTTTACCCTACTGACTCTCGATAGTTATCAAAAGTTCATGGAGAAAAATAGTACGACGAAATTAATCTTTCTTCAAATCATTAAGCAACATCTTGATACTTAATTTCTTTCATATTACAACTTACTTCTTAGTTAAATCTTTTTATATATGATATTTTTCATAATCAACTATCAGAATTCATTTACGATTTTCAACATTCTTCTACTGAATCGTTAGAGAGCATTTGCAGCGAAAGTTATATTCTATTATAAATTAATAAAATGTTGCATTACAAATATAGAAAGATATCTGACTTTGATAATCAAACAGAGAATGACTCCATTAACTATTTAGTTTGTGTTTTTTAATTGACTCTACTAGGTAGTTCTAATAACATTGTCAAAATCTCTCATTGAACATTTTCTACTATCATTGTCCTACACCAATTTCCTAATGACAGAAAAAACTCGTGTCACATGATTCCGTACATAAGAGCATTTATTTTCATTTAGACATAAATGATTCAAACTGTATAGGTACATGCCTACTACCGACTAGATAAACCTTGTTACAAAATTATTTTGGTATTAGTCATCTGATTCAGCTATAACTACGAAGTCATTGTTGTTTATTGAAAGTATGAAAATATTTTTTTTTGTATTTCGATCATTTATTTATGTTACCTGACCGACTAACTCTTTGGTAGCAGTATCTTGAGCATATTTCACATCTTGATATTGGCTAAATATATCTTGTAAACGTTGATATACAGTAGTTTTATTTAACACCTAAAAAAAAAACTATCTAATTTAGACACAATAACTTCTAAGAAAAAAAAATAACCTTATGAGATAAATCTACATTGACCATCAAAGCTCCTTCATATATATTAACATTTGTCATAAAACCTGGAAATAATGTTAATTTATATCGATCAAGATCAATTTTATGATCAAATTGATAATAATTTCGACCGACTAAATCGTATACAAAAAAAAACAAAACAAAACGTTTTATTAACAAAGAAAAAAAAACAACAGAGAAGAAACTGACTTAATTTCATGCCCGATAATTCAAGTAATCTAAACATGAATTATTAAAAGAAATCCATGAGTAGATTTAATAAAAAAAAGAACTAATATCATACTTTCGAACAATAAGATTAGCCAAATGAAAAAAAATTGGTGAATCAGGTGAATTTCGTGCTACTTTTCGTAGAATAACTCTTACTTCTTCCGATGTTGCTGGATGACGACAAACAAATTCTGGTGAATCACCAAAATCATCAAATGTATAAATTGTTGTACCATCAAATGCTACATCTTTAAATTGTGTCTATAATTTAAAAAAAAAACGTTTTTATATCAAAAGATTAATAAATTCAAATTTCATACTCGATGTTGACTAATTATTTCACGTCGAAAACGTTTATTTTCAACATTTGGTATAAATTCAATATGATATTGAAATAGTTCCCATTGAGGTTTTGTTAATATTTTTATATAATTTGCTATGATATTAACTGGATCACCAACTGTACCTTTAAGAAAAATAAGAAGAGTTCAAAACAAAAAAAAACAAACAAGTAATAGTAAAAAGAAAATACCTTGTTTTTCAGTTGCTTGTGGTTGAGTTTCAGACATACTTGAATATGGTACTGATCGAGAACTTGATCGACCACTACTTGAACCAATACGCATAGTTGAAAATTCAGATGTTATACCTTGTACACCACTACCACGAGGTGCTCCTAAAAATAAATTTCAATAAATAAATAAATAAATAAATTCTATTTTAATTATTAATAATCATACCTGGCATCACCTTTGGTGGATTTCCACGACGAGGTTTTTCCGCTCGAAATTGCTACATGAAATCATATATCAAAATGGAAACAATGTTTTTTTTTTTATTCAATACAAACCTCATCCGATTGTGCTGTTTCACTAATATTTTGTGGCATATCACTACTTTCACTTCGTTGAGAAACACATGATGATGTTTCTAAATCAGAATAATCTTGTAAACCACCTGGTACATTAGTGTCTTTTGATTGAATTGGTCGAGCTCGACCACGTCCTAAATTAGAAATCTATATTGAGAGAAAAATAAACGAAAATAATTAACTTACCTCGTGATTTACCAGATGAGGACATTGTGATGTATTAATAATAGAGAGCGGAAAAAATTTTCGATGTTCGATGGAATGATTTGATCTACAATAAATATATTGATGATATTTTATATTTAATTGAATGTAGAAAATTTCGAGAGAAATAGAATGAATAAAGTTGATTTTATATGAATGATTTTTATTGATAGGCAATGCTTTTATTTAGAAATAATAAAAAATCTTTATTCTCGAAATCAACACAAACATAGTTAATTAGACATGTGTTATTTTTTTAATTGATTTGACTATTTGAAAATGATCTAAGAGTATTTTTTTCTTCTTTCTTAGATTGAATACAATTTTAAGACTTAGCTTCTCGTTTTTTTTCTTTTTCATTTCAAAATAAGAATGTAAGAATCAATAAATGCCAATATGAGTTTACAATGTATGCGTTTCATTGTCATGAAAACACAAACGTCGAAAAAGATATCAAATCACTTGCAAAAAAAGGAAATGATCTTTCACAATCTATAACACATTTTCTTATAAACAAATATATCCATAATCTTAATTAATATAGTTCTGATTGAAAAAAAAGAAAAATAAAGATGATCGACTTGAAAACCAGAAAGAAAAACAAAAAATTTTATCATATCTACGACACCAAAAAAAAAGTCTTTACTAAATTAAAACTGAACAAGATTATCTATGCAAAAAAATAAATAAATTATACACATTAACAAATTCTACTACAAGGCCAAATGATGCATTTTCTACAGATAAGTGTTAAGAATAGGCAAAGCAATTTTTAGTGTAAGACAAATATGAAAACAAAGAGATTCGAAAAAAAACAAAACGTGCAAGTATGCTGTGATTAAAAATAGACGAATAAAAAAAAAAATCATATTTCAATCGTTCATGCAAAGATATCCATGTATATTAATGCATATTCGTATCGCACGAATAACTTTGTCTAGGTCGAATATCATATTTAAAAAAAAAACATAGAAAAAAAAATGATGTTATTTTATCATTATTATATTTATACGAAAATGTTCGTTTTACGTTTAACTTTCTTTTGATTAATCAAGTAGAACGAAAAGAAAAAAAATATCCAAATAGATATAGATTTGTTTAGATATTCAAAAACTTATAGAATAACTATATTTCAAAAAAAAAAAAACATGTATAAAACTTATTATCAATATCTAAATTATCTTCATACTTTAAATAAATTGAATAAAATCATATAATTAGAAATTTATTAAATAGTAATTTTATATTTAAAATAATCATGATAAAACTAAAACATAATATCAATATGTACAGGATGGTATCTAATAGCTTCTATTCAATAACCAATAGAAAAGTTTTTCATTCGATACGCCAATAAAATTCGGCTTGTTATACCTCTGTCAGGATGTAAATACTGGGTCAAGGTTAGGATAAAAGAATATCTTAAATTTTTTTTTAATATTCAATATCAAATAGATCATGAACATTCGAACAATCAAATAAAAACTCAATTTCTAATCTTTTTCTTTTATAAAGACAAACAGATTATTATTTTTCTTTTCGTCATGAAAATGTCATTTCAAATAATTTTAAAATATTCGATGACGTTTGCCAGTTAAATATTGATTCCATTTGATTAATCGTCGTTTTGATATTAAACGAAAACTATTTAATATGAAACGAGAAGATTTACAGCGTAGATCATGAAATGATGAAGATATTGATATTTTATTATTATTATTATTATTATTCATTATTCTTGAATTTTTAAAATATTGAGAATTTCGATTAGATGTACTAGAATTGTTTGAAATTATTCATTATAAAAGTATGAAATAATAATAATAGAAATAAAAACTACCATTGAATAGTATCAATCATATTTTTATTGTCATTCGAAGAAATTTCTTGAAATTTATCTACCGAAGAAGTAGGTGTTACAATAAATTCAATTGATGTTACACTTGAAGTAGATATATTTTTTGAAAATATTAATTGATGACTATTATTGATAGATGATATGTCTATATATATATATACTCGTGCAACTTCAGGAAATTTATTACAATATAATATACTTACTCACATCGATCATATTCAGTTTATTAAAGTCAGGTTTTTTATTTGAGACAAATTTTTTATCAGCTGTATAGAATTTGATAGGTGATGATAAACAACGATTAATAACAATATCATACGATGGTGATGGATCGATATCTTCTTCGATATATAAAGCACTTGAATCTCTTTCATCCATTTCACTCTAATAAAAATTTGAGATAATATAGAAATTTTCTACTCAATAATAAAATATGAAAATTTATAGGAAATTAATGTAAGCAAAATATCAACAAAGCTAAAAATATATTTGTTTAATGAGTTTAATATATTAATGATTTTACATGAGATTGAAAAAGAAACTTTGGAATTTGAACAAATCAAATGAAAAAAAGTGCTTATGATCATCAATTTCTTTTTTTTTTGAGTTGTAATTTTTCATTATCTCTTCTCGACTGTTTCTATATATCATACATATCACTTCTCATTTACATATCGAAACTTTGTTTTCAAATATCAAACTAATTAATGCATGATCAAAGCAATTAGTGAATGAGTTGTGCGTATCCGTAGAAAAACTACACATTCATTTAAAAATATTATTTTCTTGGTTAATATTATAACATATATCTTATTTGATTTGTATATTATACGTTGATTCTTTTCTAAGCCAACAACACCCTTAACTAATTAATCTGATTGACAATGGGAAACAATACCGAGTGAGGATAAGGACTAGAACTCATCGAGTTCAAAATTTTCAAATCCGGATGTGGGATCCATCCGACACGTTCTAATAAGGACATTACAGAATGTGAGGATGAGATTGTCGTTTGTTCGGAATAACATCTACATTTGATGAAGAAAACAATAATATTGAAATGAATACTGAAAAAAATTGATGATCAAAAATATTGTCATTCCTCGAATGAACGGCTCTGGTACTGAAAAGAGCTTATTTAAATTTTTCAATAGTCATTATCAACTTGACTAATAATATTTTATTACTAATATTATTAAGCAGATGCTAAAATTCTTTTTTGAAAATATATAACTCACAAATGTTTGTGTTACGTCTACATTTGACAATTTATTGGTAAATGGTATATATTTTCCAGATGTTGTCATATGACGATGATTGCAACTATAATTATTTTTTATTAGTTTTCTTTTTCATTTTTTTTCATTCAAAATTTCATTTTACTTATATGATAAGATCAAGTTAGATTTTATTGGCAAGAGTTTCATATATTGATTAGAACTAATGAAACTAAACCAACGTTCAAGTTTTTCCCAGATTCGTACTCGCAATCTTTCAAATATATTAATTGATCGAATCCATTGATATTGAAACTAAGAAAAATGCATGAAGTTTGTTTTTTTTTTTTATCAATTCTCTCTAGTAGTTTTTTTAATTTCAATATTCATCTCATAGTTTCATACTCGTTTAATAATAAATAAGAAGTTTTTATTTCGATTACTGTTTATTTCTGATATAGTGAATTTTCTTGCGTAATAAATAATCATTATTCCCGATGTTATAAAAAAAAATTTTGAAACAATTAAATTAACATAAAAATAAGTCGATCTCGATCGACCATGACTTAATGCAAGTAACATGATTGGTATATAAAAAAACGGTGATAAAATCAACATTTGTAATCGATTTTCTTTCATTGATCGAAATTTTAAAAAAAAGAGAAAGAAAAACAAAATGACAAAGAATTTGTCTCCAGGTTACTCTGTTTTCATTTTTCTACAAATAAAATATACATTGTATCTAAACGACGAACAGAAAAACAAGTACGGATATACAAAAAAAAACAGTAGATATTCATAGAAGATTCATTCACTGTCGTACAAATAGCATGCGGAACAATAAATTCATTTGCTTATTTCTTTTTTTTCCTTTTTTTTTTCAAAACACAATAGGACAGAAAGACAAGAATATACGTTCGTATAGAGGAATGTAGGTACGTATGTGTTATTATAAACACAAATGAGAATTTGCACCGAGTTTATGCCAATAAAGAATAAAAATTAAAAAGAACGTGAAATAGTTTTATCATGATACTTCAGCATTAAAACGTCGATGAACTGAGACTGGTGTTTTTGGTACACCAAAATGTATTGATAAACCAAGTAAATCATCTTGATGTGTATGTATTAAACATGGTTCTGATTGTGAACGTTGTAAACGTGGAAATATACATTCAAATTTTGATAATGTATCATCAATCTTTAATCATAAACATAAGAATATTTTCAAATAAAAACAAAATCAAAACAAACCTCAGGTGCAAAATTAGGTCGTTTTTCATGATCAAATTCTGTACATTGTCGAATAAGATTAGTTATAGCTGTTGGTGTGTCATCACGACATTGTTCAACTTTTAATTTTAATCTTCCTTTTCCAACAAGCCACATTATCTATTCAAAAGAAAAATAATACAAAAGAATAATAAATAAGAATGATTCAAAGAAAAAACACTTAACCTGTTCTTTATTGCTGATTGGTGTATGCGGTAATTTTCCACTAAACATTTCAAACAAAACACATCCGTAAGCATATACATCAGCACTTGTGGAATAACAATTAGGATCTTTTTGTTGAATGACTTCCGGTGCCTTTGAAAGAAAAAAAAAATAGATTAGAAATCATTATATAAGCAAAAACACAAAGAATTTACCATCCAAAGTACTGAACCAGTTGGTTGAAATTGTTGATTAACACTTTCAGCAAGTACAGTTTTAACAGCAGCTAAGCCAAAATCACCAATTTTAACACGACAAGAAATTGTAACATCATCTGGATCAGAACACATATCCAAAAAAACATTACTTGATTTCAGATCACGATGAATTATTCCACGATCATGTAAATATCTATTCATATAACAAATATATACGTATATATATAGATAGTTCTCTTTACAATTATTCATTTGTTTTTTTTTTTTTGATTAAACTTACGACATTCCCTGACATATTTGTCTTGCTATATCAATTAATTGATTTATTTTCCAATGGCGATCAAGAACATGAATATGCTTGTAAAGTGTTGAACCCTAGATAAATTCTGACATATATTTCAAGCAAACAAAAGAAAACGAATAACTCTTACTTCACACCATTGTGTTACAATAGCAAAACGTGGTGAAAGAATATAGCCATAAAAGTTTAATGTATTCTGATGCGTAATTTTTCTAAATTAAAATCATATTAAATAGCGAAAATGTTGTTAGCTATAAAAACAAACTTTAATGCTATGACTTCATTTCGAAATGCTTGAAATTGACTAGGTGTTGGTGAGATAAAATTTAATTCTTTAAGTGCAATTAAACCTATGAAAATAATTTTTATTATAAATATAACAAAAAAAAAAAAGAAAATTTCTTTTATTATTATTTATTCATACCATGTAATCGTACTTCAGCTTTATAGACAGTGCCATATGTGCCTCGACCAACCATACGTCCACGATTGAGTAAGTCTTCTGATCGAATTTCCCATTCACTGACATGTTTCTGTTTTTTGAAATAAAAATTCAATTTTCTTTTGATAACAAAAAATATTTAATTATACTTACATGTGGCTTTTTTATATCAATAACACCATCAATTGATGGTTTGATCATACTAGGTCGAAGAGTTTCTGTGCTAGTGATAAGTGGTCCATTAACAGCTGTAAACAAATACAAAATAGATTAAATTAAAAAATATGCATTCAATAGGGAATTAAAAAGAAAATTGGTGATGATAGACTAAAGGAAAAGAACTCAGTGAAAAAGCGCAAATAAGCATATATATCAACATATATAAACCAAAAGAAAAAAGACATATACTGAGAAATACACGCCCTGAGAAAAAATGCTTAGCGTGTCATAAGATGCGACGGTGATTTAAATAAGTCTTACTAAGTAACGACTGAGGTATGTGATACATCGGTAATGCCGATGATGGCAATGATGATGTTTGTTGAAAGAACGAACTTGAGGATAGTGATGATGATATATTCATTGTTGATTGTATAACATTCGAACAGTAACCAACATTTGATATTGTTGTTACTGATGGAATACCATGTGAATCCTGACTGATATCTTTTTGTGAACCTATCAACGAATATTAACACAAAGGGGCTCATTTTCTTTTCTTATAGGAATTCAAGAAGAAAATGAATGAAATGAAAATACATTAACAGATTAAAAAAACAATTCATAACTTCATGATACCCATCATACACACCAAAAATAAATAAAGAATTTTTATATGTATAGGTTATTATGAAAGCAAATCAAAACTAATAAATTGTTTGTATTTTGATCTACCTACGCCGCATATGCAGTAACGGCTGCAGAGACGGCCAAAAATGGAACATAGACCGAAGAGAAAAAAAGAAATACAACTTTTACTAATACAATATATATATACAGTAGTGGCCAAAATTATAAGAAAACACTGCTAATAGTCTTTCCATTTCGTGCTTCCCTTTCTACATATGATCCATTCGACTGATATTCAGTCTTATACCTAGATTTTGATGTCCTCTTTCATAATATATGATCATATATTATGAAAGAGGACATCAAAATCTAGGTATAAGACTGAATATCAGTCGAATGGATCATATGTAGAAAGGGAAGCACGAAATGGAAAGACTATTAGCAGTGTTTTCTTATAATTTTGGCCACTACTGTGTATATATGTGCAACTGCTTACCAACTCCTTGATTTGCATTTATATTTGATCTCTATAAGGAATATTTTGATTATTTTAGAAATGAAATTTAAAAAAAAAATCAGAAAAATAACTACATACTGGTAATGGATAACGAGGTAGACTACGTGATGATTCTTTACTTTTTGCTGTTATTCGTTCTGTATCGAATCGATTTGAACCAGGATGTTTAATATGTCTATTAAAAAAAAAAAGCAAAACATTAAATAAGTAAAATTTTTGTTTTTGAATGTGATATAAAGAACACATACTGAAGAATAGGATGAGAACAAATAGGTGCTTTCATATAACAATAATTATGATAATTATTTCGACATGAAACACAACGTTTATGAGTTCCACGAATACGTTGATGACAGACAACACAACGAACACCAAAAACATGAAAGCGAGGTGTTGGGATATTTTCCTAGAGATATTTAACGTACACATACATCAAAAGCTTTGACAATAATAAAAGCACAAAAAATAAAAAGAAAAAAAGCGACATATTTAGAGAAAAATACCTATAAAATATATCTCGTGGTTCAAAACGACATAAATGAGATTTACGAACACATCGAGCATGTATACGATAACCGCATACAAGGCATCGAAGTCCTTGGAATAATAATTTATGACATGCGTCACAATAAGTTAATGTAAAAAATGTTTTTCGAATCTATGAAAATATTTTCTTTTTCTATCTAATTAACTTTCTAACTTAATACTTACAAATGAATGATCAAGTTTTGTTTTTTCTTCAAGTTCAATTTCTGTTTCAAGAACACGATCAAGGGTTATATCCCATGGACATGGTTGCCTTTTAATGAGAAAATATTCTTTTTGCATTAAATATTTAAAAGAAATTACCTTGATATCATATAAACTGGCGTATACTCTCTTAAATTAGTAACTGAATGTCGTGACGCCCGTGATTCAAGCGCTACTTCAAGTGTTTCATCATTACGTGGTGCAAGCTTAAATATAGATATTAATACAAAAAATTAAAATGAATTTACTTACAGCTGTCGTATGTTTATTTGGAAAATGAACACGAATAAAATTACTTGGTGTCATACTTGGACTACGAGATCGTTGATTAAAATAATTTGTTGGTTGTGATAAAACATATGTTGATATTGGAGGTGATGATGGGTAAACATGATAATTTTTTTGTTGATCATTTGATGTTGAATAATCATTTACATGTATATCTTTTGAATTTGTTTGCATCGATGATGTTGATAATTTATGTTGTTGAGGAGATTTTTCTGATGGTGAATATTGGAATTGACCATTTATTGATGATGATTCATTTATGGGCGACGAATATGAAAATACACTTTCAATATTTTGATCTTCAACTTCATGAAGATATTCTGTTAATGTATCACGAGCTTTTGTTAATATATCAATACGATCTGTTAAACGTTGAAACTCCTTAATAAAGAGAAATATATATATATGTATATGTATTGATTTTATTTATTAATTTGTTTTTTTTTTTTATTAAATCTTTCTTCTTACTTGCATATAAAAAGGTGGTCGTGTTTCACGAAATGCTAAATTATAATTGTTAACATCAGCTGTAAGATGTTTTAACATTTTCATTAAATCATCTAATACTTGTTGACATTTTTTTGGATCAGTATCACGTTTTGCTTCTTCTATTTTTTCAAATATCATTCGACGAAAACTATCTTCTTTATTATTTATTGGTGATGCTGAACGTGGTGGTGATGATGATGATGATGTTGATGAACAAGATTTATGATGCAGCGGTTCACATTTATCCATTGGAACCGTGCTGCTATTGCCGTTTGTCATAAGATTTGCTTGTAGAACCATAGCCATGAAAAACAACGACGACAATATGTCGATCGAAATTCACAATGTCTTTACAAGAAAAAAAAAATGAGACAGATAACAAAAACAAAAAAAAAAAAAGAGAATTAAATAAAATTTTTTACCTTTATATCAAGGTTTTTAGTCATGATGTCAGTGAAGGATATCTATTTACACGTATATATCTATATCTATAACAAGAATCGAAAAAGGAAGTCAATATAAATAAGAACAAACATCTAGGCATACTATAATATATAAAATGCTTCTTAATATAGTTTCTCCGTTTTTTTTCTCTTTTCGTACTTACTTGCACGGGTATTTTTTTTTTTTGTTCTCTTTGTCTAGTTTAGTTTTGAGTGATAGAATGTGTGCATATGAAAGAAAATAAAAGCAAAGAAAGACCTAGAATATATGCAGATGTTTAAAACAAATTCCGTGCATATCTCTTAAGTGTTAAAAAGAAGAAAAAAAAAGAAAGAGAAAACAGTCAGTTTGACGAAGATCGATAGAGCATACTTCCAGAGAAGTACTGTCGTCGTTATTTCCTTCCTTTTTCTTTCTCAAATATCCAAAAAGGTGTGATGCTTGTATAGTACTTAAAACTACTATGACAGATTTCTTGTTTCATTTCTATATTCTACAAACATATTTTTTTCATCAAAATGATTAGAATATATGCTTAACAATCACTATTTAATAATTCAAAATTTCATCGGAGAAAAAACATACGCACATAAGCTCATTGTTATCGCATAGAAAACATTAGCACTCTCAAAAATCATGAAAATCTATTCACTTATAGTTATTTTTCTATAATAAATGTTTTTTTTTCACATATTTATTCAACTGTATTGTTTTTTTTCTTTGCAGTATCTAATTTTAATTTAATGAATTCCATATGTACTAAGATATATATATATAAACACACATACGTATGATCTATTGTATTTTTGCAATTGCATTTTCTAATAAATACCCATATGTAACGTCTTTTTTCATCGACTGTCGCACAGCCGTTTTTTCTTCAGTCATTTTTCTGAAACAATTAGTAGTAACTTAGTATGTTTCGTTCTTCTTTACACGCACACGCATACGCACACAGAGGACAGCTACAATTTCTCTGTGTCTTTTTTTTGTGTTGCTTCATGCTCTGTTATTTTTCTTCCTCATTTTTTTCTTCTTCTCTTTCTTCTTCTTCTTGTTCTTGTTCTTAATTGCATAACCCTCTCGCCATCCGGGTGACGACAGCAACATGTAATAGAACCTTGAACAGCTCGAGGGTCGAGCAACAGCAACCATCCAGGGTTTTATATTGATGCTGTTACATGCAAAAAAACACAGAACAGAACAAAAAAGAAAACATATAGTACGTGGACACTGTTGTTATTTTTCTACTTGATGAAGCTAATGATGCGCGTATAAGATAGAAAATATTATAAGGTACCTGGAAAAAAGAAAAAGAATAGTCCATTTTTTTTTTGACATCAGAACGAAAGAAAATCAAGGGAAACAAGAGTGATGTCTTACTAATAGACAGAACAATGTTCTCTTTATTTTTTCATATTAATGCTATGTCAACATTTTTTTTTCTCTGCTCTATATTTTTTTACGTTGTTTCTGACAAGTGACAATCATATAATACGATGAGTAGACATATAGAAAAAATTTTTAAAAAAAATTGATCATGACTTTTAAAAAGGAAATAACAATTCGTGATAAACTACAAGAAAAAAGCATTCATTTAGAATATGAAAACTCACGTAGATTGGAATATAAATAATAATACAAAAAAAAAAAAAGAAAGTCGGATATACATTATTTATCTCAGTGCTAAACTTTATCAATTATTATTCATCAGACCAGATCACAGCTGAGAGAGAGAGAGAAAGGAGAGAGAGAGAGCTGGAGAGCAAGCGATCAGTCAGCAACATAAAAAATTTGATTACTGATTTGTTCAAATACAAAACGAATCCAAGAATCAAATAAATCAGATGACGCTACTCGTTAGTCGTCAGTTATTTTATTTTTTTTCTACTTATCTTAATCCCATTTCGAATATATTTGCTATGAACAACATAGTCATTTGTTTCACTATTGTTTGAAAAATAAATATGAATACACCAGCATCACCACCAAAAACAGGAGCACGTCGTCAAGGATCAAGTGAAAGAACAAGTAGTTCCTATGATGCTCTACGGTTTTTACGTACAACAAATAAATGGGGTGAGAAATATGATTTGAATATTTGAAATGAAAAACTAAAAATATTATATTATTTTTATTTTTAAAGATAAAGACTTTTTACCACCAATGTGTGCATCACGTTTTTCAAATCATAATGATTTTGAAAGAGCTTTACAAGATTTTTATTATGAAGTTGTTGAAATAATGCCTGATTATGTTCAACGTGTTCGTAAAGCTTGTCGTCTTATATTTGATGATTTAGTGCCACGTTTACGAAAAAATCGTTATGGTATTGTTCTTAATGATCCAATTTTTTGTGATACTTTTTTTGAAAATTTACAAGTTGTTCATATTCAACGTATTAATATACTTATACCAATTACAATACGACCCGTAGAAAAAGAACGTTTAGATAAAATTGGATATATTTATTTGAGAATACCTGGTTCTGTCAATGATGAAGAATTATCACGATATGATCCGTGGGGGTTTATGAGATCACGAAAAGATAGACAATACTTATCACCAGTAGTGCTTGTTCAATTAGTTCATTCACTTATTGAAGAAGCATTAAAAGATCCAAATCCAATAGAATTTTTTGTTCTTGAACCACTTGATATCGATCATGAAGGTGCAGTTATTCGAATTCGTCATGAAGAATTAATGTTTACAATATGTTTATCATTTGGTGTTAAAATAAAAAAAACTGATCCATATTTTGTTACAAAACCATATATACTTGATGATTATTTACAATCAAAACGAGCCTGGCGTATATCATATATTGAAGCTGAAATGAAATGTTTAAAAGTTCTTCACCGTGCTGATCATTTTCGTCATGCTCAAGCAATTAAAATATTTCTTGCTTTAGTTAAATTAAATCGAATATTTTCTGTATTAAATGAAGATATTATAAAAGCCTTAATGGTTTATATATGTGATGAAGATCTTGTACATCGAAATTGGAATCGTCGTCGATGTAATGATATATTTTGGTCATTATTTGATTTACTTTATGTTTCAGTTGATCAACAAATTCTTAAACATCCATATTTACCTGAAATGAATTTATTAGAAAAAATTGATCGAACGAAATTAGTACGTTTAAAAAAACATTTAGATTATATAGCTGAACATCAACATGAATTTGAAAGATTTTTTAATCGTCGAGTACTTAGTTGTAAACGACGACGTAATCAATCAAAAAATTTATGGGCTTTCTTTGGTTCGTTAAGAAATCAATTAACTGAAGGTGGTGATGATGACGACAGTGCAGCATCAAGTGATGAAGGAAATGATATAATTTATGATGAAAATAATATTCATTATGAAAATATTCAATCAACTAAAAATCAAAATTCTCAATTACTTAATAATGTTTAATGATATTCATTAAAATTCACAGTTACAATCAATTGATGAATCTCTCTTTATTTTATATTTTCTTTTAAATAAATCCCTTATATATTGCATATGATTGCGTACAATTCACTTTTTGAATCAACTATAAAAAGAAGTAAAATTTTGCTGAAAGAATTTTTAAAATGTAAAGTTTTAAATATGACCAAAACTCATATAACTAAAAAGTATTTTTACATTCAAGTGACATCAGGAAATGATCTTTATTTATTAGTTAAGTGGAAATTATCTGTGTCGGTCGTGTATAGATGAAATCTTGACAACGATTAGTGAATATTTTATCGGTAATTGGAGAATTTAAACATAAAATACTTAGGGCATACCGAAAGTCTTTACGGAGCTATATCAATTTCTTATAGAATGCTTGAAGAAATTTTCTTTTTTTTTATGTAGTAATAGAAAAAACGATGCTCTATTTTTCTATGCTATTTGATCAATCTTCAACTAATATCATCATAATAAAATTTTGATAAAAATTGTTTTTGTGTAAAACTTAACTAACGGGTGCGACAGATTAAATTTTTCAATCACTTAATACATTGTATTAAAAAACACAATATACCACAAGATGCAGCATGAAAAGCTCTACAATCTACAAAGTAAAGCTTATTTTCATTGTGTATTTCTCGTCAAAGAAAACAAAATTCTGTGCGACCAATTTTCACCGTCCCGAAAAAATTATGCGAAGAGAAATTCCGTTTTCTTATTTCATATATAAAATAAACTGTTCTTTATAAATTGTAGAGCTTTTCACTCTGCATCTTGTGGAATATTTTGTTTTTTTAATACAATGTATTAAGTGATTGAAACATTTAATCTGTCGCACCTGTTAGTTAAGTTTTGCACAAAAACAGTTCTTATCAAAATTTTATCATGATGATATTAGTTGAAGATTGATCAAATAGCATAGAAAAATAGAGCATCGTTTTCTCTATCACTACATAAAAAAAAGAAAATTTCTTCAAGCATTCTATAAGAAATTAATATAGCTCCGTAAAGACTTTTGGTATGTCCTAAGTAGTATATAGTATCAAATACACTAAAACAGCAATTAGAGTGTAGGATACTGTCCGATATTAATGTCAATTTCAAAAATAAAGGACAAGTTGATATTTTTTTTGAGTAAATTTTGATAGGGATGATATAGAGAGCTACGGTTTCACATGAAGGAAAACATTGCCTTTTTTGGCATATGTTTATCAAAGAGATTCTGGAAATAATATTTGTTACTTCCATTTCATATCGAATTTTATTAATATAATTTATTGAAAAATTGAAAAAAATAGTAAATGATAATGTTGTTATAAACTTTTATCCATATTAAAAGCTATAGACCTTTAACTTTGTAGTTAATTAGTAGTAAATAAGTGCAATTATCTGCCAAAGTTTCAAAGAGTTTGCTTTTGTTGAATATAACAACGATAAAATTTTTAAATCGTTTCAGAACTTCTCGGACACGCTTAAAGACATATAAAAGAGTCTAATTGGTTTTTTACTGTTGTTTGAAGCTTCAAGGACTTTTAGATATGAAGATTTAAAAAAATATTTTTTATTACAATTATTTGGAGGAACGAAAAAAGAGAAGTTTCATTGATGCTGAACGAAAAAAGTTTTCGATCTCACATTAATATTTTATTTTGTGGAGATCGTGATACAGCTAAATCACACTTACGACAATACATCTTTCGCTTGATATCACGTACTCAATATACTAATGATAAAGGTACAAGTGTAGTTGGTTTAACATCTGATGTTACAAAAGATGCTGGAGCTAATCAATTTGTTCTTCAAACATGAGATAAATATTTCCCTATGCTTTTTTTAATCAAGTTCTCATCTGCTTTGAAATTCTAGTGGTGCATATTAGTTCTTGCAGATAATAGCATTTGTTGTATGGATGAATTTGATAACAGGAGTGAAGGTGCTCGATCAATATTTCACAAATTTATGGTGCGTTATACTTTGTATTGATTTTGATTATTCGAAAAAAAATGATGCATTATTACAACAAACGATACTAATAGCTACAGCTAATATTATATGTACATTAAATGCTCGAATATCTATTTTAGCTGCTGCTAATTCGATTGAATCTCAATGAAATAAATCAAAAATCATTATTCAAAATATTCAATTATCACCTAGATTGCTTTCGCGTTTTGATTTTATTTTTTTCGTGCATAATTTAGCTCATCTAAGTTTTTAAAAGAACGCTTAGCTCAATTTCTTAATGTATCTGAACATCCTAATATTTATGAATTATTAGCAAAACCAATTAGTAGGACTGTTACTTATAAGGGGTGTCTCTGCAGTTTCGAAAGGATTTTAAAATTTATCCTTCTCACATTTAACAAAAGCAAACTCTTTAAAGTCTGGACAGATTATTTTGCCTATTCAGTGCTTAATAACTACAAATTTTGAGGTCTATAGCTTTTACTATGAATGAGCATTGGTAACAACGTTATTATGTACTATTTTTTCAATTTTCCCTATTATCTTGGTGATTTTTTTAAAAACAATCTAACTTTTCAAAATAAAAAGACACATAGCAAGTTATCAATACTCGTTAATTTGTGATACTCCATCCTGATCTATTACTCAGTTTAATCGTGTTGGTATTTTATTTACCATTCATTTATATAATACAACATGAAAATTTGTTACATTCTTTTCTTTTAAAGTTATTTTTCAATTGTTCAATATTATTGTAATTGTACCTTCGTAGTTTTTCTTTTTTAATGCACCTTAGATGTTTTCTATTGGTCAAATGTCAGTTGGTTTTTTAGTACAACTCTTTGGCTGTATAAGATTGATAAAAGCATGTTTGATGACATGAAAAGTCACAGATATCCTTTGTTTAGAACCAAAATCATCTTGAAATGTTAGCTATCGTAAATTTTCTAATTCGGGTTGAAGACGAGCAGAATACAAAAAATCTTTTTCATTCTGTCTTATCGATCAGCAGCTGTCCTTTGAAGAGATATATCAATCCATGTATCATGAACTAAAAACATTTAGTACATGCACACAACTGATTAATGATAACAGAATGCAAGAATCATCGGAATCTAGGAGGTTAATAATACATCGTTATTAGCAATCTCTTTTTCCACGATTTTAGATGTCTTCGTTTGAAGTTATGTATCACGTCAAGTCAAAATTAGTGTCTTATGAAACTTAGGCTTATGATAGAGAGAGCACGCTCTGCAATATTGTCAGCGGAACCTTTCCTGTTTTTCTAAATGGGAATGGTGAAAAAGAATGTTTCTTTTTTTTCAAAAAAATACATTTTCGCTTGAATTTCGCTAGAGCGTTAATATTAGGAAGTGTACCTGATAACGATGAACACATTTCTTTATCGTAGACTACTGATTTTTCCTCCACTGTGTAACGAAGAGAAGCTGTCATCATACTAATTGAAAGATTAGCATCCAAAGATTATCCAATATATATAAATATTATCAATTGAATGTACAATGACCATGAACCAAGTCAAACAAAATAAGTCAAAATTTTTCTACCATTAGTAGGAATATTAACTGCATTTATATTATTTTGTTTTACCTAGAAGCGTTCTTAGTATGTTTTTGTATATAAAAGTAGGAACATGATATAATTTCATGAAAAACTTTGTTGTTAATGTTCTTTATGAAAATAAAGCGAAAATAATAAAAATGGTATGAGTCGTCGATGCCTGTAACAATAATCAGTTTTGAATAAATTTTAGTTTTCTTTTTTAACTCGTTGGTCTTCTCAAGTATCATATTCGAGTTTGATCCTACATTTTAAATATCACATTGATTTATTTGTTCGATGATACAATAATGATATCGAATTACTATATTTCGTACTAGCAACTCTATTTAAATATTTCATTAAACAAAAGTAAACTTGCGTAAATTGGATAAAAATAGTATTGGAATCGATTTGATATTTGATAGTTGTTGTAATCTATGATTAGTATATGTGAATTATCAATTTTGAATAGCTTTTTTTTGTTCTCTTGAAAATAGAGCTCACGAAGAATATAATGTAAATATTTGTGTTGTAATGCGAAGTTTTCGATTTTCTATATTCGTTTCTTTTAAGACGGATTTCCGTTTTCAACCTGCTTTTTTTTTCTTCATATAAATTTCAAAACTAGTATTTGTTTTAGAAGAAAAACTAACAAATTATAAAGTATTCGATTAGCATTTATTTATCATAAAAATCGATTTTGGTCCATTAAACTTATCAAACAAAATATCTTATTCATATGAACGAAACCAAATCTTACTCTGCATGCAGTATATATTTTCTTTTTTATTGACGTTTTTTTTTTGTTTAACGTTATTCGTTTGATAATGGAAGAATAGACAGAAGAAAAGAAGAGAAAAAAAGGATAAACAAAAGGCAAGAAAAAGAAGAGGTGTCTTAATAATGTTGGCCATCTGTAGAATTTTTCTGTTTTGTTCAAATATATATGTTTTTTTCACTCACTCTCACTATTTATATATATAAAATCAGAATAGTGTGTGCATGTATAATAAAGATAGTAAACCGTACTACATGTTGATAATGAGATAGAAAAAAAAGATGAAAGAAGAAAAAGATAAATCCAATCGATGATAGACTTTGTTTTTTTTTATAAGCACACTGTGTCATAAATAGGGAAAAATGTAAAGAAGAATAGAAATGAGCACAAACCTGAGCAACTTGATTTTGCAGTTTGGCTTTACACACACACACAGAGACACTCACTTATTAGGGTTTTTTCTTCGCGCATGTACAAAAAAAAAGAGGAAAAAAAATTGATGTGTATAAAAACACAAAAGACAAAAAAGAATTTTGTTTTTGTTAAAGAATTTCTTCACTTGAGTCCATTGGTTGTATATCTTGGAGTGAACTTTGGGATTGCATTTGACTATTATCATCTTCTGTAACAGATGATGCCATATCTTCCATACCGAGTAAAAGATCTTCATCTTTTGAATAAAATTTATCGGCATTTTCTTTTAATTGATTATTGGCACCTTTAATAAAAGATAATTATATATATATATATATGGAAGAAAAACTTAGTTTTCAATACCTTTTGGATCAAGATCCATACTCCATGACATATACATATATGAATAGTGAAAATTTTTCAGATGTCGATGAACCTTATATCATTGCATTGAATGTTATAAATTTTCTTAATTAATTAAACTTACTTTACTAAGTAAATAGTAAACAAGTGATTCTTTTGGTGCGATTTGCCGTAGTTCTTCAAGTTCAATTAATGCTTCTTGATATCTTTCAAGATGTAATAAAAGACCAGCTCTATACAACAGAAAAACTAATCATTTAAGAAAAATTCAATCATTATAATTTAATCTATTTACTTATGAAATTTACATAGAGCATTTTTTGAATCAATTTTAAGTGCATCATTAAGTAATGTTAATGCACTTTCGGATCGATTACATTTATGTTGAGCCTAATAAATAGATCAAATAAAGAAATAAACAATAATAATTTTCATTTGTTTTTTTTATATACCACTGCTAAATGACAAATAAGATCAGGATTCGTACGGAATATATTTGTTGCTTTTGTAAAATGAAATTCAGCTGATTGAAATTTTTCTTGTTTTAAATACACCATAGCTACACCATTCCTATTCAATAGAAAATCAACATAAAAAAAAAAAAAACTAATCCATTTCAAAATAATTTTACCAAGCTTTATAACTTCGTGGATTTAATTGTATAGCTTTACGAAAACATGCCATAGCACGTTCAAGTTCATCAATAAGTGAATATTCATTTCCCAATAAAGTATATGCATAATCAGATTCTGGTGCCAATTGAATAGCACGTTTAAATGCTTGTATAGCTTTATCATATTCATGATTAAGACTAAGACAATTACCTGACGCACACCAACTCTATTTAAAATAAAACAAAAAAAATAAAGCAAACATAAGAAAGTTATTAATAAATTTTTTTTTCTCTATCGTCATTTGGAAATTTGATCTTTCAAAAAGGGAAAAAAAAATGTATACTTCAAATAAACAAAGACAAGATGATTAGATATCTTTTCTTTTTTCTGTTTCAAAATAATGAAATTTGATCTATTCTTTTCGATCGAGCATAGGTTTAAAAAATTATCATTGATTCATTTGTTAGGTTTTTCTCTTGATTTCATACGTGTAAAACAAAAAGAAAAAAAAAGATGGCAACTACTACACCAAGTTTAACTTCACCAACTTATGATGAAATATTGTCAACAACAAGTCCTGTATCAACAGATGATCCAAATAAAGCATCGGAAATTGATAAGTCTGTAACGAATTATTTATTATTTATATTTCCATTATATGTATGTGCGATTTTATTAAATTTTTTATCAATTTATTCAATACTTCTGGCAAAAATTTTTCGTCAATATTTATCTAATGTACTTTTGACGGTTATTTGTATAGGAGCATTAATTAATTTACATGGTCTTATGTTTTTAATACTTTTACGATGGACACATGATGCAGCATCAAGTCGTATATGTTCATCATCAATGTATCTTCGTGATACTGGTTCAATTCTTATTTATACACATGTTTTACTCTTGGCTTTCGAACGTATTCTAGCTAATTTAAAAAAACATCCAACAAATTTAAATAATAAACTTATTCAACGAGCTCATCTTTTTCTTATAACTATGTCATTAATAAGTATTATTCTTTCATTAACTATTCCAATATATACATTTAGTCAATCATCATTTTCATCTATGAATGGTTTATGTACTCCAACACAAATTGGATCTTATAGAAAATATTTAAAATGGATTTATTATGGTTTTGGTCATCCATTTGTATGGTCATCATGTATTTTACTTAGTATATTTCTTATTCGAAAAACAACAATATCTTATTCAACATTAATTCCAATGAATAGAATTATATTAATAATTAGTTATTCATCTTGTATTAATCTTTTAATAAGTACATTATTTGATGATCTTATTGGTATTAATGATAATGAAATAAAATATACCATAGATCAATCTGCTGAAACAGTACTTTTTTTAATGAATTTACGTGATTTTATTTCAATAATAGATAAAATATTAATTGGATTATTATTTTTTCTTTTTCGACCAGAAATTCGTTTATGGTTATATGAATCAATGAAAAAATTTCAATTAAATAAAAATGAACCTGTTATACCACAAATGTTAGACATACGTAATGTAATAGATGATAATTATCATGAAACAGATGATGGAAATCTTCATCCTCCAACAGATATTTAGGTGAATAAACAAATTAAGAAAAAAAAGAACAAAACATTCAAGAAAATTTTTTCTTTTTTTTTTGTCTCATCTTGTCTAAATTATTAAATAAATCATACTTACAGCTGGATGTTTTCGATCGGTTTCCGTTAATTCATGTGCTAATGTTGCTAATGCAATATCATCTTTTAAATGCCAAAGAACTGTACTATAATATTCTAAACCATCAATATGATATGGAAATTTAGTACGTAATTCTCGATAGATAAGTGAAGATTTTTGATAATCATGTAAATGATAATAACAATTAGCTAAATGTGATAAAACCCATGGTGTATCAAGATGTTTTAATGAAATTGATTCAAATATTTCAATTGCTTGTCGACATTCAAATTGAGATAAATGTTGTAAACCTTGACCAAGTAATTTAAATACATTGATAATATTTTCAACAATTTCTTTAAGAAAAATCAAAATAAAATAAATTCATAAACTTTTTTTTTTTTAAATAAATAAATAAACAAACCAAGTGTACGATGATGAGTTGATTGACTTTTTCGTTGTCGATCACGTTTATTAATTAATTCATTATCAACACCATAATTTAAACTTGTATTATTTGATCTTACTTGTGATCGTGTTGTCATTTTATTTGGTGATTCAGTTGGTGCTATAGGTGTTGTTATACTCATATCTGTACATGGTGGACGTGTTGTTGGTTTTGTAAAACGTGTTGTACGTTTAGTTGGTGCACGAATAGATTTATTCTCCTATGAAAGAAACGAAAAAAAAAAAAAAAACATTTTTATTATAAATTAATATTATTTCTATATACTTTAATATCATTGGAATTTGGAGTTTGTGTACGACTTCCGACTGTACTACTTGGAGTTCTAGAGGAAAAGACTTTGTTTTTGTCGAAAGCAAAAAACAATGACATAAGAGATTTTTATTCCTACATTTTTGATTGAGCAAGGACATTATTTGAGGTAGAAAGAACATGAGATTGACCGATTATAGTACGACGAGTTGTCTGAGAATAGAGAATTAGATATTTCGATTTTAATTATATAGAATGAATCGATTATAAAAATATGGTTTCTAATTCTTTCTTAGTAGTATTAGTTCGAATAGTAGAAGAAATCGAAACAAATTGTAAAACTTACTTTTCGTGTACCAATAGTTTTACGTGTATCACTAAGTGATGTTGACGCAAGTTCATGTGGATGTATAAGTGTTGCTGTTGATCCGGAAGCCGTTGTGTCATCAAATCCATATTGTTGTCTAGAAAAAAAAGAAAAGATAAATAATAACATTAAACAGAAAAATGTAATTCGTTTTTTTTTTTTTTTTGTTTCGTTTATCTTACACATTTCGAGTATTTTGTCGTTTAGGAGCTAATGGTGGGTTACGTAACGATGGAATATAATCAGGTGGTTTTATAGTCGGTGGAGTATATTTATCATTATCTTGTAATTGATCCGTAATTAAACCTATTGGTGTTGATGTTATTATAGCGGAAACATTTGTTGGACCAAAATTAAGAATAGAATCAGTTAATTTCATAACAGTTGCTGGTGCTTGTAATGAACGTGGTTGTTGTCGTTCTCGTATTGTTTGATTTGTACTTGTATTCATTGACTAAATAAAAAAAAAAAGGAAAATAATATGCTTAATGAAAGAAAATAAGAAATTCTTTTGTTTTGAACAAACATTATCAATAACTTGATTTTCACTTTGAATATCTTTTATTTGTTCCATATAAGGTGTGACACATGTATGTGGTTGATTTAATTCTGAGATTGATCGATTAGATTTTATAGTAGATGAACAAAATATACTTGTATCAACACGTTCACCTATAATTAAATATATGAAATTGAGATAAAAATTATGAAAAAAATTAAATAATGATAAGTTTGTTTGTGTTCTCAAAAATAAGTTTTCGCTTTGTTGAACTTTTAAGCCACTAGTCAAGTAGATATCGTTTGCCATTGGATATTTTGTTTTTTTTGGCAAAATTTTCGATGGTTTCTGTCATTTTCTGCTCGAAATATATGCTTTTTTTTGATCGCACAATGCAGAATTATCTACGGGCTACTTAACTTTTCTTTTGTTTGAAAGATTACGTCAAAATACAAGACATGACAAAGTTCCTTTTTTGAATTAAGCATTGCTACTATTATATAAAGAGCACTTTTATCCTTATAGCGCTGTTTTTCGAGAGTTTTTTGAAACATTGAGTTTTTCATTCCGTTTCTTTTCTTAAAGAAAGAATCTCTGTCATGCCTTACTTCGTGACATGCTGTTTCAAATAAAAAGCAATTAAGGATGTAGGATGAAAATCTACAGAGAATTCTAGGTTGAAACAAGAGCTAGTTTTGATTCTCGTTAGTTGAATATTTCCTGTCGGTGTCATGATATAAGACTAAAAAAACTTTATCATAAGTTCTGAATATTTCATATGATTTGAATGTCTTTAGGCTAAGATACACTTTTGAGGGAAGATCTTAAATTGCCCTTCTCGAAAAGAAAATCTGGACAAAACATTATATTTATTATTATAAAATCTATAATTAGCTATAGTCGTAAAATTTTATTTTTATTTTTTTTAAATACTTACCTAGACGACATAGAGCTTCAAAAGAAGACCATAGAAATGGATTAAGTTTTAAGGATTTTCGATAACATTCGCTTGCTTTTTGATGACGATCAGATTTTCTATACAATAAGAAAAAAAAAAACAACAATCAAAAACTATTAAAAAAATTTCTTAATATTTATTGAAACATACTCGCAAACTTTAGCAAGTAGCTGTAAAGCAAATGCTGCGTGATCACCATGACCATTAACAAAATCATCAAGTACAAGTGTATTTATAGATAAACAATTTCCAACAAGTATTGATTCAGCTTCATGAAGTCTAACATGAAAACATTATAATATATTTCTTGTTTTTGTTTTATGTCTTCTTGCACTTACTTATCCATATCAAAGCAACATTTTGCTAAAAGAAGTTTTGCAGTAGGTAAATGTTCAATAGAAGAATTTCGTAATAACCAATAAGATTTATTCACATCACCACTTAAATAATAAGTACGTGCTAATAAATAAGTTGATTCATCATTTTTTACTAAACCAAAAAATAAATAAATAAGAAAAAAAAAAACATTAGCTTGCAATTATATAATTCTTATTTTTTACCTTCCGCATAAAGACGTTCAGCAAGAAAAATAGCATCGACATAGTCAAAATTATGAATAAATTGGTTAATATAAACCTTAACGGAATCGATTGCAACAGACATTGAATTGCTTGGAATAGGAAGATAGGAGAGAAAAGTAATTTTAAAAAAAATAATGTCTTAGTTATTCTTTTTTTTCCTGTTTTTATTGTATCGAATAATTAGATAATAATTAACCGAAACATTGATAATAAAGATCAATCTATATCTAAAAATAAATGAAATATTAAAGAATAATGATTTTATCGATATCACAGTCACAATAAAAGAAAGAAAAACTTTATCATTCACAATCTTCTTTTTTGAATAATATCACAAAAAAAAGCAAATTTGTTTTTGACTAAAATTTAAAAAATAAAAGATCTGCTCATATGAAATAAATGCTAAAAATATTTGAAAACAATATTATCATGTCAATTTGTATTTGTATATTTTTGTGTTTTAATTAACTGACGTCGTTTACGTTCATTAGATAAACGATCACATGCTTGCTGTATATTCATAAATGTAACTTGAGCTTTTTGTTTTTGTTCAGGATCCTAAAAATAAATAATGAGAATTATCTAAGTATTTGAATAATTTCATAGAAAAATATATATATACTTGATATTTATCAGGATGCCATTTACGTGATAATGTTCGACATTGAGATTCAATATCTTTTTGAGAAGCAACATTGCTGAGATTAAGTACCTAAAAAGTAGCAAAAGAACAAATCATGAAAAAGATTTATTATAAAAATAAATAAAAAAATATAGTAACTTAGTTTGCAAACGATTTATTTCATTGATTTTAAGTTCATTCAATAATGAATTTATTTTGCCATAGAAAACTATTGACTATGTTTTGTTTTTTTAATTTTCTTTTCTTATCAGTATGAAATATAAATGATTATCACCTACTCAATTGTCAAATTAAGTTCTCCTGTTTTACGAAAATATCTATCTATCTACCGAAGCATGTGTTCCTAACATCTGATGTTGAAAGTAAAATATCAAACATATAATAGATTAACAATATTGTACCTTGTACTGTCACATTCTTTTCAAGGCTACAAATGTTATTGTTCCGGAAAAAAAGACTTGAAATTAATACTAGGTAGTGTTTTTACATATTCTTTGGAAAATCATGTGTTTTAAGACGGTAGACTAGACACATGAAACATTTATCTTCATACTATTGAATGTAAAATTTAATTCTGAACGAAATGGTATGACTGTAAAATTGAACAATGAAAACTTTAGAGTTTTTACTTTGAATTTTTTTCTAACATATATTGAAAGATGTAGAATTTTACGAAGAACGTTTTGTTACATCTAAAATTTACGATATACTACTGAGAAGAGTTGTTTCTTGCTGTTCTTTTTTTTTGCTTTCCTTCACCATCACAGTTTGAACGATTGACTATGTGTTAAGCTGTTCAATTGTATGTCGATTAGAAAAAAAAATATTTTAACTCGTTCGCGTCGGGTGTCCCATATATGGGACGGTACCATTTTCCTTCTGATACACGTATCAAAGTGTATTTGAAGTTCAGTTTTATGCTTCCATTTATTCGATATCTTGCTCTTCATTGTTTGCGTGCTGTACAAACTGCAAATCGAAGAGAATATTGTCTTTCTGGCTTTCGACTGAAAATGGTTCGGTAGCTTCTGAAAGACTTCGACATTCATAAATCGGATCGTTCTACAGGATAACTAACAGAGACCCCTATGCGCCTGACTGCGCGACACTTTTCATCAAACGCGAAAAGCTTCATGGATGGCTGAAGACCTTG